CAATCCCAATTCTACCCCTTAGCTTACCCTTCTACCCTTACCAGTCCAAGTTATCTTTAACCTAAAGGCGTAGGGCTTAGAGGAAGAGCTAGATAGCCCTTGAAACTGAGATTTTTTTTAAGACCACACTCGGAACCAAAGGATACCAAAATACATCTACAATGGAAACATGGCTGCACACAGAAATTAAGAGATACACAAATTAGTATTTTTTGTCATTATTACAAATTTTTACAACTAACAAGCACATGTTCTAATATATTAATAACGGCGCTCGTGTTTTACGTCATGCTTTAAAAAAAAAAAAAAAAAAAACCTGCTAAATTTCACTATCTCTAATCCCTAATAATAACTCCTGTACAGTAGTCCCACAACATACTTTCACATCTGACACTGGAATACCTTGTCAGTGAGGTCTAGTGTCTGGGAATGAGCTTTTTACAGTGTGTGCTATGATGTTCTGTCATGTGTTTACCTAGATAAATATGGCCACTGTGTAAATGCACAGTACAGTTATGATCTTATTGCCACATTATATCATTATGATAACATGATATCAATGCCTTCAGTGATTTCCTGAAGATAAATACCAAAACATAACGCAACTGGAATAACTACAGCAGTTGCAATCAGGGCTGGGCGAGATGGCAAAAATGCAATCCCGTTAACTATTTTCCATATTGAACGATAATAATATATATTTCAAAATAAGTTGTTCATGCTTCCAGAATTAAAAGAGTACCCCAACAATGACCGAAGCTACAAAAACTAGAGGGTCCACTAAATGACATAAAAGTTTCAGCCAATTAATTTTCGGTGGCCAAAAATTTGGTACATCTCTAATATAAACACACTTTTAAATTCCCATTGTTGCACATTTTTGCTGTGTCATTGGCTTTAATATATATAGCAAAAAAGTCCAGAGCATTTTATTGTTATTGACATAAATTTTATAGTGATTCAATATAATATAGTTTATTAATTATATATTAATTATCCCTAGTTGCAAATGTCAATCTCATTTGTAGTAAGAGATCGTGATGACATATGATGACGTGTGCAGGTGCTGTAGTGGTGTCCCATTTTTAAGGGGTAAAAGTTGAAGCCCTTCCCATTCACACTCTGTTTCAAGGGTCAAAGGAAGGGATAGGAGTACAAAGATAGAAATGGGATTGGGCCTCAAAATTTCCATTTTACCCAACATTTTAGCTCAGAATTAATATATCTGTACAAGGGAAACCATATGAACCACCAAGATCACTATAAACTCAGAATAATGTGACAAACAAATTGCACCTTGCAACTGTAAAGACAAATTATATTCTTCCTGTTCACAAGAAATATATTTTAATGTGAAGACTAAAATAGAATAAAGTCAAACAAAGTTTGTCTTTTAATTGCTTAAAATTTTCTGAGTATAATCAGTCTGCCTCTGTGAGGAAAATGATCCCAAGGATGAGCTCACTCATTTGTTAAGACTATGTTACAATGTTTAGATAAGAAACCGCTCCTTACCTCTTAAACAACCAGTAATGATTATAATGCATTTGATCCTAAACCTCAACCAATCATCAATATATATATATATATAATTGTCAGTCATCAATATATGATCATCAATATAAAAAATTTCCATCACACAACCATCCAGCATACCCTGTCTACCCAATCCACTGTATAGTAACCTACAGTGCTCAGCATATAAGGGTACACTCCTCACAAATCTCTCATTTAAATAAATATTTTGCATTGGGTGCTTTACAATATTAGATTTGTGCATATACATTAGTTAAGTCAGTGCTAAAGCCAAATCTGGAGCGAATCTAACAAAATAACTTAAAATAATGGTTCAAATATTATTAGCTCAAATTAATATTTAGGAAAAATACCAAATAAAATGTTCAAAAACAGCAGAAATCAAGAGAAACAAAAAATAAATACAATTTTGTTGTGATTTTGTAGGTTGTTTTTTTTTGCAATATTTTGCGTGAATTTAAATGTATGATCTTTCCATTTCTAAAGATGTTCTGTGAAATAAACATATCCGTTTAAAAATCTGTCTTGTTCAGATGTACCAATATATATTAACCATATTCACTGAGAAATGGATAAAAATATTCATTTGAATGTTCAAAATGGTGTGTACTCGTACATGCTGAGCACTATACATAGCACCATCTTAAAATAATCATCCAGAACATGCAAGTCTGCTAGCAATTGTATAGTAATACCAACTACCAGCCATTTATCAAACAATTAATTTTTTGTGAGTATACCCAAGTGTATTTCTTCTAAAATGCATTACACAAACATTACCTAAATGGACCCCAAATCACAAATATACCAGCAGATTATTTGATTGAACAAATGGCAGCTCCACTCTGTCCTTATTCTAAAACTGCAACCTTTGTTTAGCCTGTAAGATTTAGCTATATTCTCAGGCATTCTCAGAGACAGAGTGGGATTATAATCCAGATTACTGTGCATAAAACACATCTGTCCTCAGTCTATTGTCCGCTTGGCACTACTACTAATCTGGGTCAGAGTGTTTTTTTTTCTCTCCACTGATTCGGACACACCACGTATGACATTCTAACCTACATTTTTGACAATCTCTGAGTCACATTCTGGTCATTTGGCCTGCTGTGACTTTTAAAGCTCTCGATCATGAGTTCAGTCAGAGGCAGAGGCCAGTAGTTAACCCCCTTCTCTGAGTTATCCCCCAATAGACAACAGATATTGGCACAGCATGTTTTATATGAAATAAGAAGCTTAAAGTGCATTCAGAAAGTGCATTCCGTCCGTCCATAAATCTGTCTGTCCATCTACAATTCTACATTCCTTCACTCTATTTGTCAGTCCTGTAATTTTCCTTTTTGTCCAGCTATCTGCCAATCATTAGTCTTGACTGTCCATTCACCCATGCGTCTGTCTGTCTGTCTCGCTGTCTGTCCATCTACTTATTTTTTTTCCACCTATTTTCATCTATTCCATCTGCCAAGCAAACAATCTATCCATTTGTCTGTCCATCCAGCCATAGATCCATTCATCTATCTGTTCAAAGATTCATCCATCTGTAAATCCATCCATCCATAGATACATCCATCCATCTTTAGATCCCTTCATCCGTGGATCTATCATCTATCCATCATTTGTAGATCTGTCCATCCATCTGCCAATCAATTGATCCATTCATCCGTTGATTGATCGATCCATCCGTCAATTCGTAGATTCATCCATCTGTACATTTATCCATCTATAGATCCATCCATCCGTAGATCCATCATCCATCCATAAATCTATCTATAGTTATATTCATTCTTAGATCCATCCGTCTGTCCATCCATCCATCTTTTCGTAGATCCATCAATCTTTAGATCCATCCATCCATTCGTCAATTGATCCATCCATTCATCCGTCGATTAATTGATCCATCGGTAGATTCATCCATTTGTAGATCCATCCATTCGTAGATCCATCCATTCATTCGTAGATCCATCCATCCTTCTGTTGAGCCATCCATCTAGCCATCCATTTGTAGATCCGTCCATCCTTCTGCTGATCGATTGATTCATTCGTCCGTCGATTGATCGATCCATCTGTCGATCCGTAGATTCATAAATCCGTACATTCATCCATCCGTAGATCCATCCATCCATCAGTAGATCCACCATCCATCCATAGATCCACCATCCGTAGATCCACCATCCATCCATCCATCCATCCATAGATTCATCCCTCCATTCATTTTTCCGTAGATCCATCCATCCATCCATTTGTAGATACATCCATCCATCCATCCATCCGTAGATCCACCATCCATCCATCCATCCATCCATCCATCCGTAGATCTATCTATCTATCTATCTATCTATCTATCTATCTATCTATCTATCTATCTATCTATCTATCTATCTATCTATCTATCTATCTATCTATCTATCTATCTATCTATCTATCTATCTATCTATCTATCTATCTATCTATCCATCCATCCATCCTTCCGTAGATCCATCCATCCATCCATCCATTTGTAAATACATCCATCCATCTTTAGATCTATCCATCCATTCATCCATCCATCATCCATCTATTCGTCAATCGATCGATCTATTCATCCGTCGATTGATCGATCCATCGATCGATCCATAAATTCATCCATTCTCAGATCCATCCATCCATCCATCCGTCTATAGATTCATCCATCCATCCATCCATCCATCCATCCATTTGTAGATTCATCCATTCATCCATCCATCCATGCATCTGTAGATCTATTCATCCATTTATCCATCCATAGATGCATCCATGCATCCATCCATCCATAAATTCATCCATCTGTCCACTTGTCTATTGCTCAATCTATCTTTCTGTCTATGAATATGTCTGTCTACACATTTTTCTTTTCATCAATCATTTGTCTATCCAGAGACTTATCTGTCTCTCCAACTATCCAACCACCTGATTATCAATCTACTTATCAATATATTCATCTGTCTGTCCTTGTCCATCAATTTGTCTATCCATCTATGCATCCAACTACCAATCCATCCATTTCTCTATTTGTCCGTCCGCCTGCCCATCCATCCGACCGTCTGTCCATCTGTCTATCTGTTTTAATTTCTTGCTACTTATATAAAAGTGATCATTAAAATTGCTGTCATAGTGTGTGAGGTTGATGATTTCCATCTGAAAAAATGCATCACGATTCCCATCAGGAGATTTTCTTTTTTTGGGTAATCACATCATTGTTTTTCTCCCTTATCTCCGCCGCCTGACATTGTCCCATCTGTCCTCATAGTGCCTCTGTATTAGTGCTGTTGTATGTCACGACATGTTCTTGTGCCAAGTGCGCTTGAATGAGTTTTCATGCTCAGTAAAATGTCATTGACATCAAACAAAGACACCAAGATAACATGAATTCTAGCATACATATAGAAACAATAAAAACTATGAAAATGAATTCATTAGTGGCTTTTAAAAGGACAGGATTCCCTCACCTCCAAAACCAGGCCTCATGGCGAAGTCGTGATCTTCGATTCTCAAGAGCTGCTCTGATTTAATCAGCAGAGATTTGGTGCTGTCAGACTTCTTAGTTTTAAAGTCTATTCGTCTGTTTAAAAGAAAAAAAATGGTGAGGTTTTAGTTTTATGATGTGATGCACAAAAGCAATAATACAATGGGTAAATAACCAGCGCTAATTAAAACCCTTTAACTGCCTACTCTACCAAATGGTTGACCATGTTTTTACTGTTTTAAATAATGACTGTTAAAGTCATTAAAAGATTGACTGGTTTAAATAATGGTTTACACACACAGCATTGTTGGTTTACAAAAAATCAATCAAACATAATCCTGTTGCATTACTACACTTGATTTTGGTTTTATTGTGGAAAAAAAACACAAGAAAGCATGTTAAATGAGAATCTGAAATATTTTATGGCATACTTAAAAAATAAGGATGATTTACAGTTCAAAATGATTTATTTTGATTGTTTTAAAATAAATTGGTCTTACATTTCATATTTTCATATTTTTCGTAGTAAATGTGTATTAATTTCAGAACTTTTACCATAAATGGACATATCAACAATTTGTTAAAGGCTGATATTTTAGAAATTATAGGATGTTTTGAAGAAAAATGCATTGAGTGTGTTAACTAGTGACATTGGGAGTTAAGAAATGCAATCCAAACATTTTTTTTAAAGTAGTTAAAGGGTTAAAGAGTAGTTAAAGGGTTAAAGAGAGCTGTTCAGAAATAATAACTTTCTTTAAGAATGCAGCAGTCCAGAAAGCAACAGTTATTTATTAATTTCAAGTAAATTAAAGATCTTTTAAAGCAGAACAGATAAATATCTCCTCAATTTATAACTTCACTTGCATTCATGAGTTTGTTTTACATGCAATACAGCAATATGGTTTTCATCAGTGAGCAAAAATCAGATTTGATTAGTTTAATAGATTTTCTTCTACATTAAAGTAGTTTCAGAGATGCTAATTCAATATTTTATATATAACGTTTTCTATGTTTAACTCCTAATTATGTCCAACCATATTGATATTGAATTAGTGACAATAAAACAAATCATATGCAACCCTAATATACTTTAATAATATAATAAATATAATATACTTTAGTAAATATAATATACTTTAATAATATAGTAAATATAATATACTTTAATAATATTGTAAATATAATAAACTTTAATAATAGAGTAAATTTAATATACTTTAATAATATAGTAAATATAATATATTTTGATAATATAGTAAATATAATATACTTTGATAATATAGTAAATATAATATACTTTAATAATATAGTAAATATAATATACTTTAATAATATACTTTAATAATATAGTAAATATAATATACTTTAATAATATACTAAATATAAAATATACTTTATTAATATACTAAATATAATATAGTAAGCAGTGGCGCAGTAGGTAGTGCTGTCGCTTCACAGCAAGAAGGTCGCTGGGTCGCTGGTTCGAGCCTCGGCTCAGTTGGCATTTCTGTGTGGAGTTTGCATGTTCTCCCTGCATTCGCATGGGTTTCCGGGTGCTCCGGTTTCCCCCACAGTTGGGTAGGCTAAATTGTCCGTAGTGTATGAGTGTGTGTGTGGATGTTTCCCAGAGATGGGTTGCGGCTGGAAGGGCATTCGCTGCGTAAAACATTGCTGTATAAGTTGGCGGTTCATTCCGCTGTGGCGACCCCGGATTAATAAAGGAACTAAGCCGGCAAGAAAATGAATGAATGAATATACTAAATATAATATTCTTTAATAATGTACTGAATATAATATATTTTAATAATATACTTTAATAATATAGTAAATATAATATATTTTAATAATATAGTAAATATAATATACTTTAATAATATAGTAAATATAATATACTTTAATAATATAGTAAATTTAATATATACTTTATTAATATACTAAATATAATATACTTTTATAATATACTAGATATAATATATACTTTAATAATATAGTAAATAGAATGTTCTTTAATAATGTACTATATATATATATATATATATATATATATATATATATATATATATATATATATATATATATATATATATATATAATATACTAAATATAATATTCTTTAATAATGTACTGAATATAAAATTCTTTAATAATGTACTGAATATAATATACTTTAATAATATGCTAAATATAATGTTCTTTAATAATATACCGCATTGAAGATGTATGTTTCTATTTATTATACATCTATTAATTAATGCAGTTCAAGAAAGATGTTCCTGCCATGACACGGTTACCTGAGAATGACTTAATTCTGGGCTTTAGTACAAAAAGACTAAATTACTAGCCAGTGTTGTTTTTGTTTTTACCTCACATAGCCAGCTCAACCATGAGCTCTAATTACAGAGTCTCTTTATCCACAATTAATTATACCCTCAGACAGCACACAATCCAACAACCCCCAAAGTGCAGGTCAAAACAAAGTGCTTCAAATAAACCCTTACACACATCAACCCACAGGGACGAAACCACACTAAATACAACCGAGAGTGTAAACAGACCGACACGAGACTTTAATTAAACCAAATAGAGGTGATTGATATTAAACAAAGTGAGGTTGAAGATGAAATGAGCATGCAAGTACACTGTAAGATTAATGAAGTACAGAATATACTGCTTCAGCTTTTATACTTTTTACAGTTTACCAGCAATTTTAAAGTTAAAATTGCTCATAGGTTGGCCCACACAGGCCACTGCGCAGAATTCTGCAGATTTTCCGCATATTTTCTGCAGATTTCCGCAGATTTTTAGCCCATCATTAATTCTGTTTATTTACTTGAGTTAATGTGTAAATCTAAATGTATTTAGTTTTTTAATTATTTACAGTAATATTATTGACTTATGTTCATCTGATTTATGTACAACACAGTTTAGTAAGTAATATTTTCTGTCTTTTAGTTGAGATATTATGTGAGAGATTTGCTTTGTTTACCAAATGAAGTGAATCTAATTGGATTTGCATTTTAAACATTAAATAAAAGTTAAAAAGGTGTTACTTTTTAGTTCATATAATAAGGTTTTAGTTATGATACTCCCGAAATAATTCCGCAAAAATCCGCAGATTTTACCAAAATTCTCTGCAGAAATAGCAAAAAATGTCCATAGATTCCGTCTGGCCCTGCTCATAGGCAGTAATGTGTTAGTTACTTTAAAAAGCACTTGACTACTAAATACTAGTTAAATCACTACAATCGTATTTAAATTACTTTTTACAAATTCATTCATTTGTTTATTTTTTCTTTGGCTTACATTCCCTTGTATTTATCAGGAGTTGCCACAGCGGAATGAACCGCCAATGTATCTAGCATATGTTTTACTCTGCGAATGCCCATCCAGCCGCAACCCAGTACTGGGAAACACCCATACACTCTCGCGTTCACACACATACACTAGGACCAATTTAGTTTATTTACTTCATCTATAGAGCATGTCTTTGGACTGTGGGGGAAACCGAAGCACTCGGAGGAAACCCACGTGCACACGGGGAGAACATGCAAACTCCACACAGAAACGCCACCTGGCCCAGCTGGGACTCGAACCAGCGACCTTCTTGCTGTGAGGCAACAATGCTAACTATTGAGCCACTGTGTCGCCCTAATAATCTCAATACACAGACAATAGATTTTACTCATAATTCTTTAAATTTGCAACAAACAGGAACTTTTAATTATGAACATTAACACGTAAAATTGAAAGAATATATCTATCACAACAGGTGTCACGGTGGCGCAGTGGGTAGCACAATCACCTCACAACAAGAACGGTTCGAGTCCCGGCTGGGTCAGATGGCATTTCTTTGTGGAGTTTGCATGTTTTCATTGGGTTGGCGTGGGTTTCCTTCGGTAGCTTCGGTTTCCCCCACAGACCAAACACATGCGCTATAGGTGAATTGGGTAGGCTAAATTTGCCTTAGTGTATGTGTGTAAATGAGAGTGTATGGGTGTTTCCCAGTGATGGGTTGCAACTGGAATGGCATCCACTGTGTAAAACATGCTGGATACGTTGGCGGTTCATTCCGCTGGTGCAACCACTAATTAATAAAGGGACTAAGCCGAAAAGAAAATGAATAAATGATTGAATGAATGCATCACAACTAATGTTTTAAATGAATGCCACCATAACTCAGATGTCATATATTGGCAGAATTTTAAAATATTTTCATTGTTTTTTAAGCATGTGCTGTTTTCAGACAAATCAAACCTTTTTTTAAAATCTTAATAACAAAAATATACATTTAGAATTACTCTGCTATTCTGAATTTTTACCTTACCTTACACCGGGCTCGAAACTGCAACCATTTTGGTCACGTATGCGCCCAAAATTTAAGCTATGTGACCTCATAATACTGGGTGGGCCATTTATGTAGAATAAAATGGGAATGGTTGGTGATATTAACGTCCTGTTTGTGGCACATTAGTATAGGTGAGGGGGCTTTTAAATAACTCATGAAAGAATAAAGTTACGTTTAAAACCAAGCACACCATTGGTTTTCTTGTGAAATTTCCAATATGTTTTATTAAGGTGTATCTATATAAATGACCAATCCTGTATATTTGGGAGCATTTGTGCGCCTGCATATAATGGTTGTAGTGCGACCTTTTTTTAAAAAAATTTTTTAAATGTGCTAATCAGTCTTCCCTGCCGCTATATTGGTACATATTAGCTGTCAATCACTCAAGACTTTCTGCTGTCAGATTACAGGGAGCTTTCGTGACTGTGGGGAATGCAAACGACTGAAGAGTGAAAAGTACACAGAATCTCGACGCTCGTTGCATTCACTGCCTGTTTAGTGCAAATGCTCGCTAAATGTAAGCTTTAACACTGTACACACCATCGCCAAAGAAGCTCGCCTTTACTAAGTTTAAACTGATGCGCTTATAACAAAGAACAGTATTGCGCCAGTGATCATCGGGAGAATCCTGCTCTGCCCCCCTCATATATTGGTTCGGCTGACTTGCCTGTTGTTTTTAACAAACACAGAAAAATGAAACTCCGCGCATATCGAGATTGAGCATTAAAATGACACAAACCCAAACCAAAACTTTTAAAAGTGAGACATTTCTTCCTTTCTTTTGTCCATTCTTTCTTGACATGTATATTATCTTTCCATTTAATTACTGATGACTGCTTTGCAGCTTTCAGCCTTAAATTGAATGGTTTATTATAAACTTTCATTTGTTCAGAAATATTATTTATTATATTGACTTGCATATAAAAACAATAGTATTTTTTACTGCAATGCTTCATTTGTGTTTGATGCAAACCATTTTTTTTCATAAAGTAACAGTATGACTTTGTATGGCAGATAACTCACACTCAAACACATTCAGGGCAGCATGATCATGAGAAATATAATTCATTGTTAGTATTATTGACATCATCAATAATATTTTATATTTATTAGAAATTCATTTTGGAATTATTGCACAAATATTAAGTCATCACAGCATTAATTAGATAGTTGTTTCTGTTTTTTGTTAGTCCCAATCTATGTTGTTTTCAAATACAATAAGCCCCTTATATTTGCAGTGGTGCTCATTCATTTTTGGTGGGTGCTCCTAATTTTTTTCTGGTGCTCCTAAATTTTTCCCAGTGCTCCTAAATATTTAAAGGTGGGGGCACTTGTGCTACCAAGTAAAAAAGTTAATTTCGAGCCCTGTTGCATGTCCTGTGATGTGACTAATGCAGACACACACATTGTGGTATCAGTGCTAAAACAACATATTGTGCAGCTCTAAAATTCATACTCTTGAGGATAAATGCAAATAAAAAAATGCAATAAAAATAATTATAAATAATAATAATAGTAATAATAAATCTGATAATCAAATAAAAGCTCTCCTAAAAAGTATGTTTTAAGTGATGATTTAAAAATATTCAGCGATTCTGCAATATCAGAGGGTAAAGAGATATATATGCATATTTCCTCTGTAAACTATTCAGTAATTTTCACAATGCAACTTTAAAACACAGTAACATACTGCATAACCGTCCAACAGTTATATACAGTTCATATTACAGTAAATACTGTCATTTACCAAAATCCTTAACAGTGTAGCTTTCTTACCCTCCAAATTTGTGCTTAGTGTTTTCGCCCAGATAGACGTCCTTGTGCCTCCTCTGGTTTTGCGTGTTGCTTCCTTTTAGCCATGCGACGGGCCACAGCCAGGCCAGGCACATCAGCCTCAGTGCCGCAAGAGCCAAGTTCATGACCAAGGCCTGTGCGAGAAACCAAGAGACGCAGCGGGATCAGTCGAACTCTTTGGCTTTCTTTACCAAGCATCCTTTCCGTCTCCAGGTGTCGCCCATTCCGACACGACCCTTAGATCCAGCAGAAGTTACATGGTGCCGCTCCAAATCTGCATTGGTTCACGTAAAGCTGTTGGTTTGTGTTTCCCTCCCTGCCTAACACTCCGGCATGGTGCTCTCCCTTCATCCCCCCTCCCTCGATTAAAGCCAAATATCAATTTAGTTCTATAATGACAAAGAAATGACGTTAATTCCTCCCTAATCTTCTTACATGCAGCTGCTGAAATCTTTCAGTAACCTATAAACTCCATGGGGAAGGGGAGGTGCGTCACAAGCAGAGCCAACTTTACTATCACGCTGGTTAAAAAAAACAACCATAGAGAATAATAAAAATACCACCGAAGAGAATAGTCATCACATTGCAGACTGAAGGAATCTAGAAATATATGACTGATCTTATATGCACATCAGCACAAAACGTATATTGTGCTTTTTTTACTATTGACTTTAATGCTGCAATGTGAAAATGCTGGGTTCCACACAATTCCTTCATGTTGTCTCAACACAAACCAATTAATCTAACTTAATTGTAAATGGATCAAAACATAAATAAAATAAGGGCTCTATCATACCACTGGCACAATAAGGCGCAAGATGTCTTTTGTGTGATTTGTAAGGGTGTCACGATCCTCCAAATCCTCGATTCGATTACATTTTCGATTCTAAAGTCACGATTCGATTTGATTTTCGATTATGAATAATTAATTAATTAATGACCAATTAATTATTTGTAGCCTACCGTTTAAACTACCTGACCTGCATGGTCTTTGTTTTACCCGTAAACAAATCATACAGTAAATGAATAAAGGCAAGATACACACATAATTACCACCTGTCAATCACTTTTTCTGCGGGACTCGTGAATAGGCAGTGATCTGTGTCGTTATAATGGCGTCGGTAAAAAAGACACACAACCAACAGGAACCAGCCAACAGTATCTGAGGTGTTCGCTAAAATGACAAAGTACAAGTGAGTGAAAGATTGAAGCAGTCCTCTGACTACCTGGACCTGCTGTCTCGAGCGCATGGCTGTGTGTGCGTCTGTGTCTGTGTGGTCACGTGATGTGCATTTTCAGAGGTAGAGAGGAAGGAGGGCTGCTCAGAAATGCTACACGCCACTGTGGATGTCAAATCGTTGTCGTTCTAAAATGCCATTTAAAAACAAAGACAGTGTAAACAGGGCCTGAGTGTGTACTTTTCGCGAGCGGATTTGCAACGGGGGCGGGCGGAGGATCGCAATGCTGGTGTTGTCTATCGGACAAACCGTACGTAATATGTACATAGCAGAGCTTGCAAAACTGTTTTTTTTTTTTTTTTGTCAACAACACGAACGTTGTCAACATAACTCACTGGAAATCCAAAATGCTTACACACCGGCGACTTCATTGAAAGAGGAGAGGGTTCAAGTTCTGACGGGTCTCCTGCTTCTGCAGTTTAACAAGAACTTCAACAAGCCTGTTTTTTCCCGCTTGGCAAGCCAAGCTGACGTGACATGGGGGCGTGGCAGCATCGACGATTCTATTTTTTGATTCGATAATCGAAATTAAGCATAAATTTCGATCGATTTCGTGACACCCCTAGTGATTTTTTTTATATTTTTAGAGCAGCGCAACAGTAATTTTCACATTTTGTGACCCAGCCGAGGCTCGAATCAGCTACCTTCTTGCTTTGAAGCAACAGTGCTAACTACTGAGCCACTGCATTGCCCTCAATCATAAAATGTTTATTTGTATTTGAACTATTTCTGTTTACATGTATTTACAGAGTCTTCAATGTCAGTCATTCTAGTCAGTCGCATTATTAATTCCCTCTGGCTGTTAATGAAGTAGACATATGGTTATATGAAGCATATGGTTCTCCTGTAATTGTGTGTGTTTCTAAATGACCGTCAAGCTGCTGTTAGACCCAACATCAGGCTAATCTGTGAGAGATCTGAGAGATCTTAACTCGCTTCACACAGGATTACAGTCATGGAGAAGCTCAAGAGATGATGGAGAGATGAAAAGGATGGGATCTAACCCGGAACAGTTAGAATGACGTGTAATTACAGTAAATACTATTTAAATTATAGAAGAAATTATCTAGATTGGAAATGCAAAATGAAGAGATTTTTAGGAAAATAGCTAGCAATGGTGACAATATCAAAACAGCATATTTGTGTAGAAGATATATAAAGAATTTTTACACAATAAAATAATACAAAATTAATTAATCATACAGTATGAAATGCATTTAAATTATATATACATTCTTTTTCAAATTCTTGAGATGATTGCTTGGAGGATTCTATATGGTTGCTAGGCTGTAGGTATAAGGGTTACTAGGGTGTCACAGAATCAAATAATATTATGAAACATTATAAAATATAACATTTGTTTTACAAAATATGAAAAATACAATTGTATTGTAGTCATTTTAGTTTACTATTAGTATGTTAATATGTTGCTGGGGTCTTCCCAAAGTAAAAAATGATAAGCTTTTTTTTGTTTTTGCCAAATATATTTATTAACATTTTGTGCAGATAAAATATCATATACATAAAAAAATTAGTGAAACACTGTTCTGCTTTTTCACAATTAAGAATCAATGCTAATAAAAACAATATATTTAACAGTAATTAAATAACACTGTAAATGTAAAAAATAAATAACAAAAATAACAATAAAAGTAATAAATTATATAATTATTTGATTTATATTTGTGATATATTATACATTTATGGACACTGGTGTTTTGAGATTGTGTTTGGATTGTTGATAATACAAATACATTTTAATATATATATATATATAAATATATGCCATAGAAATATAGTTTGTATAATAAAATTATTTCATAATAATATACAATAAGTCCACTGAAATAAACAGACTGAAACTAATAATAAAAACAGAAAATAGCTTCTTTGTGTTGAAATACATGAATTTTTTTCACTCAAAATATAATTTTAGTAAATATGCAATTATTTATTTATACTGTATAAAATATTTCTAAATTTTGTATGTATATATATATATATATATATATATATATATATATATATATAAATTTATAATTGAATAAAAAAAATACAAATAATTTAATAACAAATAATAATTCCGTTTGTTTAGGATGTAAAAGGATGCTAGCAGAATGAAGGAACGTCCGTAAAAGAAAAAACAAACAGTAGTCAAACTGAATATCAGATGAAACACGGTGGCGCACAATCAATAATAAAATTGCAGCCAGCCAAAGAGTAATCCCACACTGTTCCTCTAATCCAGTTCCCTGCTCCTCTAATCCAGGATTAGAGTGTGATTGAGGGCACAGAGGAGGGATGGCATCTGAGGGAGACGGGCACGTGCTGCAGCCAGTCTGGAGAAAGCTGCTCTTTTACACTCAACCAGGATCATCCTGCCCTATTGAGATCATTCATCATTACAAGAAGGATATAAAAGCTGCCCCACAATCACAGCGAATGGGTAATTTCCACAATCGCGGTCCCTCGTTTTAGATCAAACAACACAAGTCCAGTAAACATCCTCTTGTGGCCAGATACTGTATGGCAGGAGAGCCATCGATATTTCTTCGATCCTAATATGTAGTTTATCATATAGCCGTAAGTGTATTCTGATTAAAAGCTTAAATATGTTTTAAAGCTCTTTATATTATCTTGAGCTGCAATCAAAGTGTACACATACCTTTAAAAATGGCAGTGGCAGGTTTCTGTGATGTAAAAAAATGAGTCCAAGATAGATATTGTTAAAAGAAATCCGCCTTTAATGTAAACTATAGCCAGTACAACCTAATTAAAAAACAAACTGAAACATTTTAGCCTGAGGGAAGTAAAAAACAACGTCTAAAATAATGTGTTTGCATAAGTGTGTACACTCTAGTCTATTATAATGATGGTGTGCTATAAGAATTAAGCAATAACATACAAACCCCATACAAAATAGGAGCCAGTACACACCTGCCATCATTTAACATACCTTTAGTTAAACCCATATAAAGTTATTTGTTCAAGTTGACTTTTCCACTCCCTATATTCCCATTCACTATTCCCTACATTAGTTCACTAATATAAGAACTGATGTACGCTACTAGTTCACTAGTATAGTAAGGAGTGAGTGCGCCAGAAGGCCGCCTTATTTGTGTTTGTTGTTTTGTTTCAGATGGATTCCTTTTTGTTGGTGTTCAGTACGTTCAGTCAGTACGGTTTGTCTAGGTCAGATAGTTTTTTTTTTATACTTAGCAAGCGGATTATTGGGAATAAAGCAAAGTATTTTGACTTCTGTTATGTACACTAATGTTTAATTGAACAATTAAATTATAATTTATTTATAAACTTATTTAGCATAGATGGACAATTGGACAGACAGACAGACAGACAGACATCGATATAGGTTTCCCACACTCCTTGAAAGTACTTAAAGGTACTTAAGATTCATTCACATGGACATGAAAAGCGCTTAAATTAAATTTTAATCTGTTTATGGTTTTATTTAAATAATTATACTCAATAGTCAAAAACAGAATGAAAAAAACATAACGAGAAATTCTTTAATTATAAATCAATTACAAATCAATAAATAAATTTGTACAATAACACTGCCATATAATGCACGTTTCATCAGCATTTCAGAAACATATATTTAATATTACTAGTATAGAATTTAACATGTTATTAAAGTTTTTTTGAACATGAATTAATAAAACTTTGTTAAATTTTTTTTTTTTTTACAGTTTTGATAATGATTAGTGTAAATATTAAGTGTAAGTGATGTGAAAATTACAGTAAGGACTTTTTATGGCGCTATACACAAGCTAAGGAATGAATTACAAAGGTGCTTGATTTAAAAGTAATAGTGCTTTAAAAGGGGGCGAGGCAGTGGCGCAGTAGGTAGTGCTGTCGCCTCACAGCAAGAAGGTCGCTGGTTCGAACCTCGGTTCAG